AAAAAAAAAAAAAAAAAAAAAAAAAAAAAAAAAAAAAAAAAAAAACAATGAAAAGTTACAGACTAGGAGAAGATATTTCCAAGCCACGTGTCTGACAAGAAACATCTAGAATATATAAGGAAATATCAAACCAGTTAGAAAATAGGTAAAAGAAAAGGAGATACACTGAAGAAAATATGCTGATGAAATAAGAAAAGGTGTTTATCATCAATAGCCATTAGGGAAATGCAAATTAAAACCACAATGAAATAATCACTACACACTTATCAGAATGGCTCAAATTAAGAAAAATATATAGTGACAGTACCAAATGCAAGGATGCAGAGAAAATGGATTGCTGAAATGTTGCTTATGGGAATGATAAATTGTACAGCCACTCTGGAAAGGATACAATTTCTTACAAAATTAGATGTGCTTATGATACAACCCAGCAATTGCATTCTTTGGCATTTACCCCAGAGAGACACAAACCTAATAATCACACAAAAAAGCCTGTTCACATGTCTTCATAGCAGCTTTATTCACAATAGCCCCAAACTGGAAACAATCCAGCTGTCCTTCAGTGGGTGAATGATTCGATAAACTGATACATCAATAACCGTGGAATACTTTGGCAATAAAGAGGAACAAACTATTGAGACACACAAGAACCTGGATGAATCTCCAGAATTATATGCTGAATGAAAAAAAAAGAAAAGTCCTGAGATGTTACTTGTTATATAATTCTATTTATATAAAATTCCTGAATTGGCAAAAATGTAGAAACAGAGGTCAGATGAGTTGCTGCCAGGACTAAGGCAGCAGGTGTGGTGGTGCTGCGAGGGAAGGAGATGCGGCTGTAAAAGGGAACAGGAGGATCCCTGTGGAGGTAGAGATGTTCAGTATGTCTGTGCCAGTGTCAGCCTCCTGGCTGGGATATTGTACTACAGTTTTGCAAGGTGTTACCATTGGGGGACACTAGATAAAGAGTCTGTGGGGTCTCTTTAATTCTTACAGCTTCATATGCACCTACGGTTATCTCAGAATACACTGTTTATTTAAAAATAAATCCAGGATAGCTGGCACACTGAGAATGCCTTGACATTTTTCTTTTCTTTAGGGTACTTTATGGACGAGATCTCACATATCTGCTTCCTGTCATTCTGATCAGACATGATGCTCATTCTCAAGAGTAAGTGATGTGTAAGAATCACATTGGGCAGAATCCATAAGCTGTCCATGGGTTTGTCTTCCTCCTAATTTGTGTTTTGGGTTCCTTTTAAAAGTACGAAGAGTTGTGTGTCACATACCTGAGCCAGTTTTTAAGCCAGTGTCTTGCAACTCCAAACCCACTCCTGTATTAGCTCCTTTTTGAGGGTGGGGCTAGGAGTGTCTCATGTATTTTTGCTTTTCTTGCCAGCTCCTTGTTAGTTCCTTATCACCCATATTGGTCATATAGGTAGGTAGGCTGCAGGCTGGAGGTGGGGTGGGAGGATGTGGCTTACTCTTTCTTGTTTGCTTCCTGTTTATCCTGTTCTTATTAATTTGACCCTAGCAATGCTTTTTCACCCTGCCAGTGGCAGGTGATTAGGTAGCAGCAGTTGGATCAACTTAAATCAAGATTCTTCAGCATATCAAGAGCAGAACCAGCATCCCCCGGATAATATTAACACAGCCAGCAATGCCCTTTACGTGGAAGTAGGAAGTCTAAGAGTTTCTGTTCCCCGGGGCTGCTCTTCTGGGCCATCAGTTTTAGCAATTCTGGTCCTTTCCTTGTGTTCCCCTGGCACTAGGAGTTGTGACCAGTTCCATTTTGCCTTTTCCCTCCTTCAATATCTAGTTAACAATTGCTTATAATAAATCCTCTCATTTAAAATAACTGGAGTGGTTTCTATTTCCTGATGGGCACCTGACTGGAATAATGTTACACTATATATAAATTTAAAAATAACATTGCATGGTGCATCAAATTTTGCTTCTGACCCTTCCACTGTCTAGATAAAACCACTCTTGGCTCTTTGCATTAGCGTTGCTAGTTGACCGTCTCCTGTGCATAAAAGTAACACAGGTTAAATGCTGTGAGTAAATGCACTGGACAAAAGCTGACCTTCCCCGTTGAGTCTGAGCCC